ATTCTGACTTTGCTATGACAATCTGGCGCTTCTGAATCAGCTACTGTTTTGTTATTAGTTTAAGTATTTGCTATTGACTGTTCAAATGCGGAGTTTTGCACATCGTGTGTGTGTGTGTGTGTGTGTGAGGGGAACAGGGTCACGTCAGAGGAGAGTGAACTGCCTGTCAGAAATCATAGCACGTCAGCTGTCTTAACCGCGGCTTGTGTACTGCATCATCACTGTATCTGTCACGCGACTCTGTTTCTCTTTCGGGCTTGAACTGATGGTAAAACTAATGACATTATTAACTGTCTTGATATTTACTTTGAAAGCTGAAGCTCACGATTATGGTAAAGGGTGTTACATTTCCGACGCGTGCTTGTGGTGTTCGGCCAATCACAATGCACGGGGACAGCTGGCCAATCAGAGCAGACTGCGCTTGTCAAAGGAGGGGGCTTTGTTGAAAACTAAGCGTTTGAGAGAGGCGGGGCATAGAGGACCTACAATAATGTACAGTATTTGAAAAATAATGTGTTTTTTGAACATTAAAGCATGTCAATATATTCTGTTACACCAAATAATGATCTTTAAAATAGCATCATATGACCCCTTTAATAAATATAGTGATTTACCATTAGCATATCATCCAGAAACTAAAATGTTCTATCTTTAGCTTATCACATGGACATTTACCTAACACTCATTATTAAAATATTAATTACACCTTCTGTCATTTACCTGTCATTTACTGTTCCTGTTTTATTCTTTTTACAAAATATAATGTAATGTCGAGTGCACTGTATAGTATCACACACGGTTTGTTCTGTTGTTAGCAAAAGTAGCACAAGCGCATCATCCTCCTCCTGGTGGCCAATGCAGAAAATCACATCTCTAATAATAGCACTACTCTTACCGATAGGGTGCGCTATAAATACATACTGAATGCACAAAATAAAGATAGGTCTGCTTGATCATCGTCCTGCCTCCTGGCGCCTGTTTGAACAATAACCAACTCAAATAAACATAGATTACAGTGTCTAAAAATGGCATAGCCAAGTAAAAACAGACCATGTACCCAGTGCTGCTGTCATTTTATGGGAATGACAACTGCACTGTACAACTGAATGAGCTTTTGAAATTTGCAGGTGACAGCCACATTTGTATAGAAACTTAATGTATTACTTTTGCTTTTTTTGTAACATTTACAGTTTGACTCGTCCATTACTATGTGAAATATATCAGTGTCTGGTTGATGCATTTAACGGACTCACTCACACATGGCCCATTTTAAAGATAGCAGCTTTCAGTTTGACTCAGAAGATGAACCTCAGTAAAAGCGAAAGTGTGCGAGGGCAGACAGTTTTAACTTTATACTTTTGATTTTTCCATTCACTAACATTAAGAACTGTATAATATACACAACCATTTAAAAATCACAAGACTTTTGTTCAATTTGACCATGAAATGTAGTTTATCCACAGTTCACACAATATCCTTATACGTTTTGCCATTTAACACAGTCAAGCAACTACCTTACAAAAAGTAGGCTTATGTTAAATGATAAAAATATTTTCACCCATTAAGAACAGCTAAACTCCTAAGGGCCAGATAACATTATATAATATGCATATGCAGAGTGTGAACGAGGAGGGTCCAACACTGTAGTGGGAGGATTCACAAATAGCTTGAGTGTTTTTAGAGGATAGTATTCTTAGATCAGTCACTGAACCACTGAAGAAAATGTTTCACATATTTGCTTTGTTCTGTTTGTGCTGGTGCTGTCAGATTGGTAAGTTATAAAAACAATGTTATGGTTTCAGTTTTTTGAGCTGCAGCTTTTGTTAAGAATTAGACTATTTTCATCTGCTGCTGTCTGTACCAAATAAATCATCATTATTATTAGATCTACTTAAATTTTTTGGAATTTTACAATGACATTATGCTGATTTAAGTGTCTCATTTACTACATATTAAAAATATTCAGCACAATTAAACTGTGTAAGTTTACACATTGATTTTGCTCCATAGCAGATAACTTTTAAACAATTTAAAAATCAAGGGGTAACACAAACCTATTTTTCATACAGTACGAGACGTACCTTTCATTTTGTCCCTCTGCTGCTGTTGTAATGTTCTTTAGTTCATCTGTAAATGTATAATAACAGCTTATTTCAGGATTTGTTAACCATCAGGAACTTTACAAACCCATTTATGTTCATCAGGTGCGTTTGGTGCAGAAACAAATGAAATACAGTCAGTGTCAGTGATGGAGGGAGATTCTGTCACTTTAAAAACTAATGTTACTGAATTACATGAAGACGATGAAATAGCATGGAAATATGGAGCTGAAAAGTCTCTTATAGGTAAAATCAGCGATGATAAACGAATCTTCTCAACATTTGATGTTCCTGATGGGAGATTCAGAGACAGACTGAAGCTGGACAAACAGACTGTATCTCTGACCATCACAAACATCACAACTCAACATGCTGGAGACTATGAACAACAGATAAGGGGAGTGAGACTGTCATCAAAAATATTCAGTGTTGCTGTTTATGGTGAGTAGAGAACATTTGTCCTGCCATTCACATATTCTTGTTTTATAGCTCAATGTGACAGATTGTATAAAAACACACTAAACCATAAAAAATAAAACATAAAATTGTTTATTTTTATCCATATTTCTGTTTATTTTCTTATGTATTCAGCTCATCTGCCTGTACCTGTCATAAGAAGAGACTGTTCTTCCTCCTCCTCCTCATCATCATCATCATATTGTTCATTGGTGTGTTCAGTGGTGAATGTGGGTCATGTGACTCTCTCCTGGTACAAAGGAAACAGTTTATTGTCCAGCATCAGTGTGTCTGATCTCAGCATCAGTCTCTCTCTACCTCTGGAGGTGGAATATCAGGATAACAACACCTACAGCTGTGTGCTCAACAATCCCATCAGCAACCAGACTCAACTTCTGGACATCAGTCAACTCTGTTACTCGTGTACAGGTATGGTAATGGTGATATTAAAGTTTATTCATTGAGCTGACCTCTGTCTATTGTTGTGGATCAGACTCAATAACTTACATCAATGTATATGACAGTGTTGGTCTCTGTTGTTGCTGCTGGATCTCTGTTAATTGTCGCTGGATTTGGGATCTTCTGCATCTGCTGGAAATGTAGAAAAACTGGTCAAGAAGGCAAATGAAACCTACTGATTTTAATCAATTGATAACTCATTATAATTCAATATAATTCATGAATGTAACACCATTCAGTTTCTAAATAATGTGTGTGGTTAGTGGTTTTTGCAATGATCTGCCCTGAGCAGCTCTCTTTATTCATGTCACATGCAAAAACTGATTCTGTTTTTACCATTTTACTCTGCTAGCGGGAAAAAGTTATAATGTCACACATATGTTAATGCAATTTTAAAATTGCTTTATTAAATATATCTAATTAATTGTGTGCATTAATGATCCAACTTTGACAGCCCTAAAATAACATACTGTAAAAAACGATCTAGTTGAGATTTGTCCATTATTTATCCATCTATTTGAGTTATAATCCATTACTGTTGATCAAACAGTTCAGATGTGTGAAGATGAGATCACTCGTGTCGTTATAATACATGAGCCAACGTTCTAAGAAAGAAATGCACATAAATTGGTAAGATCGTAAATCGTTTCAGCAGTGTGTCAGATGTATGTCAGTGTGTGCTTATGTTTTTGTCTGTATAATGATCTGGTTACATAACATATCACATAGTAACATAAAAGACTAACAGCTATTTACTTTCTTCAGTGTAGTTCCAGAAGAAGCCATTTTACTGTTAAATGTGTATCACTGACATTCAAGCTGTGTAAGTCTAGTTGATTTATTTATTATTTATTTTTTTATTATTGTGGCTTTAAGAGTCTATCTGTAAATAAAAGGAGTCAGATGAATTTGCTTTCATATTTTGAACTGGAATGCATTTGTAAAGCAACTGAGACACTAAAACACTGGAATACTATAACAACTGAATACAAATGTTTTAAAGGTGTCGCAGACAGCAGGGAAAATGAATAAAATACCACTAACCATAAAATTGTTTAAAAGAAATGACAATAAATACACTTTTAAAGGGAGAAAGAAACTGTATCAAACTACTCTATGGCATAAATTCATTCAGGAAATTATTCACTTCATGCTAATATTAATATATTATTGGCCATATTTATGTTATGTCTGCATTTTCAGTTTTCCTATACATCTTTATTATTCATATTTATTGTTACCACATTTCATTATTTAATTTTCCCAAACCATTGATATTTGTTGTTCTTTATTTTAAATGATTTATTATATCTTATACCTTTTTTTCCAGGAAGTTGAAGAGGAGGATGAAGTAGTAGAGTATGTGCCTGCCAGCATGAGAAGATGATCAAACTTGAATCTTTTTAAAGTATGTTTTAATGTGATCATTTTTAATAGGAAACTCTTGTGACAAACTTATAGTTTGAGACTATTGTATTAGTATTAAGATTTATATTCACGGAACCTTCGTACATTGATACGCAGTGCAACTTTCAGTTTCAGCATTAGCAGAGTTAGCAGAAGACCTATTCTTGTCTATATCACATCCTATTTTTATAAAGATCCTTTTTATTTGTCTGACATTGCCTTAGAATTATTTTAAGAATACATTCAATATATTATTCACTTTTGTAAAATGTATGGTATTATGCAAATATGTGGTTAATAATAATTGTAATATTACAAGTTTTTATCAGTTTTGGGGAGTCGTCTAACTAACTAAAAAGAGAAACACTGCTATCAGAAATAATTTCTTCAGTAGCATAACAACGCTGATGTCCAAAACGAAACAAATACACCAAAATTCAATAGAAACGCAGTTTTCAACATCTTAAACCATTTTTACTCACTTTCATTTATACTGCATTTTGCTGTTGCTGGTGGAACAACTCCTGAGCAGTAATGCTGAGTTCACACTTCACGATTTTTAAAGTCGTCGGATCACTATCTGGGGTAGCATTCAGTTGCTGCTGTGTTCACATTGCACGATGGATCGGCGACAGGAGGTTATGCCAAGTTCACACTCCACGATTTTGAGTGGCATTTGTCCGTGTTTCACTCCGTCTCGAATCGCGCTCCCGGAAAGCACTTGAGAAACAGCGTCCCTTCCCTCAGTACGTTTTCAACTCATTTTTTTTAGTCTCGAGCAAGACTGTACGACATTCACATTACATGATTTAACTGATTTTTACCTAGAAAGGGCAACAGCGCACCGCATTAAAAGAAATGATCATTCATGTTTTCATAACCGCTGGCCAAAATCAAAAACGAAACTAAAATTAAATCATCTTTGAGAGCAAGGGGGCCCTATGCAGCTTGCGTATTTTGCATATAGGGAGGATCGGCTCTGCCTAAGTGAATTAGGTGTTTTGTTGTTGGATGTAATAATGAACATGGCAGTCATCATTTACTCCCGGCATCTGAGCTGCTGAAGACACAGTGGATTACATTTGTTTTTGAAGGGAATGCGCCCCCGATCTACCTAAATGCGTCTATGTTCACGTGAATCATTTGTGATCCAGCTTCACCTACAGAAGTGAGTATAAGTTTATTTTATTAATCTTTGCAAATTGCCTTTCCTAATAACATGCTAGTTAGCAAGTTCTGTGTATTTGATCTGCTGTCCGCAGTTGATTTTGATATTCTAGGTATTATCAAATTGCCAGAGTTTTGAGAACGTAGCGGACGTGGAGGACTATATTGTCATAAGAGTAGCATGTCTGATTGGATTCAGCTGTGTGTGTGTGTGTGTGTTTGTGATCAGTGCATTCAGCTGTGTGCGTGTAATCAGTGCAATGGTTGATGGGAAATCCAGTCCAGGGTGATGTGTAACAGTCTGTGTGGTGTGAGAGTCAATGTAATGGGAGAATAACCTCTAGTGGCAATCGGCCTGAAGCCCACGGACTGGATTCGTGACACATATAGCACACCTTGGTTCCTAACTGATGACGAGGAATTGACAGAGCAGTCATCAAGTCTTAGACAGTGTTCTAGGTTATTACACGCAGAGTTTTTAGGTCCTATAATTAACACCTCTGTTTTTTTCAGAATTTAGCAGTAAGAAATTACTCGTCATCCAGTTTTTTATATCAACTATGCATTCCATTAGTTTTACAAATTGGTATGTTTTGCCGGGCCGTGAAGAAATATAGAGCTGAGTATCATCAGCATAACAGTGAAAGCTAACACCGTGTTTCCTGATGATATCTCCCAAGGGTAACATGTAAAGCGTGAAGAGTAATGGCCCTAGTACTGAGCCTTGAGGTACTCCATACTGCACTTGTGATCGATATGATACCTCTTCATTCCCAGCTACGAATTGATGACAGTCATATAAGTACGATTTGAACCATGCTAATGCACTTTCATTAATGCCAACAAAGTTTTCTAGTCTATTCAAAAGAATGTTGTGGTCAATAGTGTCAAACGCAGCGCTAAGATCCAATATCACTAATAGAGAGATACAACCACGATCAGATGATAAGAGCAGGTCATTTGTAACTCTAATTAGAGCAGTCTCAGTACTATGATTCCAATTCAAGTTTGTATAGCGCTTTTCACGATACAAATCGTTGCAAAGCAACTTTACAGCAAATTAAGTTTCTACAATATTTAGTGGTAGCTTATCAGTGGTGACTGTCAGTCAATGTACATATGGCAGAAATGTACGGAAAAATCAATTAAAGACGTAATCAATTAAAGACATAATCAAACAGACGATTAACACTATTAACAGCAATTATTATATGATGCAATCAAACTTATAGCAAAAGTTGGTAGTTCTGTATGTTGTTTCAGGGTTGGCATCATCTGAGGTCCTCTGAGGGGTTGGCATCATCTCTTCTCAGGTGTTCTGGATCCAGACTGAAGACTAGTTAGGTACGCAGGAGCTAACCCATTAAGGGCCTTATAGGTAAGTAATAATATTTTGTAACTGATACGGAACTTAATAGGTAGCCAGTGCAGAGACTGTAAAATTGGGGTAATATGATCATAACCGCTTGGAAGTGGTTTTGGCACTGTGGGCAGGTGGAAAAGGAAATCAGTGTCTCCATAAAGCTTGTCAGCAGATGGAAGCATAAAGTGCTCCAACATCTCCTGGTAGATGGCTGCATTGACTTTGGACTTGATAAAACACAATGGACCAACACCAGCAGACGTCACGGCACCCCAAATCATCACTGACTTCGGAAACTGCACACTGGACTTCAAGCAGCTTGGATTCTGTGCTTCTCCAGTCTTCCTCCAGACTCAAAGACCTTGATTTCCAAATGAAATGAAAAATTTACTTTTATCTGAAAAGAGGACCTTGGACCACTGAGCAGCAGTCCAGTTCTTTTTCTCCTTAGCCCAGGTAAGATGCTTCAGACATTGTTTCTGTTTCAGAAGTGGCTTGGTAGCCCTTTTCCAAAAGATGTCTGAGCGTGGTGACTCTTGATGCACTGACTCCAGCTTAAGTCCACTCCTCGTGAAGCTCTCCCAAGTGTTTGAATCGGCTTTGTTTAACAGTATTCTCAAGCTTGCTGTCATCCCTGTTGCTTGTGCACTTTTTCCTACCCAATTTCTTCCTTCCAGTCAACTGTGCATTTAATATGCTTTGATACAGCACTCTGTGAACAGCCACTCTTCAGTAATGACCTTCTGTGACTTATGCTCTTTGTGGAGGGTGTCAATGTTTGTCTTCTGGACCAATGCCAAGTCAGCAGTATTCCCCATTATTGTGGTTTCAAAGAACAAGAGATACCCAGAATTTATACTGTAGGGATGGCCATTTAATGAAACTCAAATGTAAATATTCTAATATTTTGAGATACTGGATTTTTGACTTTCACGAGCTGTAAGCCCTAATCATTAAAATAAAATACTTTTTTTGTTTTACTTTAAATGTAATGAATCTAGAATATATGAAAGTTTCAGTTTTTAAAATAAGTTACAAAAAATTAGATGCACCTGTATACAGTATACATATATCCATGACCACACATACTGTGACCCTGCAGCTAAACAATGCTAGTTTCAAGAGTTATTTCCAGCTCTAGCAAAAGTTTTTAAAGAGGAACTGTTCTTGATCTCATATATATATATATATTTTTAGAAACAGGTCTCCAAATTATAACAGCCTACTAATTC